TTCTGAATTTGTTTAGATATGAATTGCATTAAGTGGGTGCTGTGATCTGCCAAGAGCTATGCCGCAATTTTCACGCACACTGCCTTTCCCTGCTCAGAGCAAGTCAGTCTGTGGGTTAAAGGCTTGTTTCCATTGTGGAACTTATTATTTTCATTTCTCTGGCCTTTGTCATGTTGATGTTTTCCCTTGGGATGTCGTGTGTGAGGATCACTCGATGCTGAACCGCACGGTCCACAGGGCTGTGCACACATACCTTAGGCTAATCGCACACCGAGGGGAATAACGTGTAGATATTGTTCTGGAATGTAACAGTAAGTAGCTCTCTCAACGCAGCGCAGGATCCAGTTTATTGCCGGAACTTTACACGCATTAATAGCTGTGATTACTGGCTCAGGCTCACAGTGGGCACAATGGACCGTGCGATCAGAGTAGGTTGATCCCAGGACTGGCAGGTTACTGCTATCAACAACAACAACAAAATTACATTTGTAAAGCCCCCTTCACGTTGGTAGGACGTCCCAAGGCGCCGGACAGACGGAGTTACGGACCCGAGCTGGGGGTCGGGGTGGGGGAGGGTGGAGGGCAGGGGGGGAGAAGCAGGGAGATCGAAAGCACGGTCGATATTAGGATAGGTTGGGTCTTTTTTTTTACTAGAGAAGTGACATTTGGGGGGAACAATAGAAATCTTTAAAACTATAAAAGGGTTCAATAAGGTTGGCATCAAGAAGCTGTTCCCACTGGTTGGGGAGTCTGTAACCAGAGGACACAAGTATAAGATAGCAACTAGGGGATCTAACGGAGAATTTAGCAAGAACTGCTTCACGAAGAGGACTGCGAGATTGTGGAACTTGCTACCTGACGTGATGGTTGAATCAGGTAGTGTAGATGCATTCTTAGAAGAAGCAATACCGTCACATGAGGGAGATGGGAACCAAAGGGTGAGGGAGGGAGTAAGGAATGGGGGAGAGATGTGTGGAGTATAAACCTGGGGCACAGACTGGTTGGGCTGACTGGCCTGTTTCCATGCTGTATGGAATCTCATTGGAAAAAGCAGCTGCATTTTGTAGAGGTAGAAACGCCAGCAAACCTGCCGTGTGTGTGCCGTGCTCTCTGATGTTTACTGTTGTCGCAGCCAACCTGCTCTTGTACCTAATTGCATCACATGACTCTTCTACAGGCTCCTTATATTGATGAAAAAGGCTTTCATTGCTCCAACGAGAGTGCCAACCATTGATCGCAGTTCCCTCTCAGGGCTGACAACCCTCCTCGCTGTGAAACCTGCCATTAATAATTTAGTTCTGTATTTCAGAAGCAATGGGTTTCTTGTTCCTCTGGCGTGCTGAGGTTTGTTTCTAGATTTGCTCTCCTGAGGAGTCTCTATGATTCTCACTTGCGCTCTCCCCAGATCTCTGCGCTGGAATCTCTTTCCCTCACACTTTGCCGCTTCCTCCACTTAAACCTCCACCTTTTGTTTACCTCTCTGCTTCTTTTCGGTTGCATTGAATTGAGTATTTTATAACCTCAGTCATCTTACACTCGCTCCCCACTCCCGCCTTACACCAGCGATTGTCTTAATTTTAAACCAGGTTAATCATGTATAATAAGTGTTAATGCTTTTTAAATAAATCCACAAGAAGCTTGCTGGTAGTGCCAGTAATAATAAGAACATAGGTCCAGCTTACGTCCACCTTACTGCCAGTCGCATGCACATGTGTCCCGAACTACCTATGTACTATATCTTGTAATATTATTTCCGAAATCTTTGCATTTGATATAGCACCTTATCACATCTTCAAGACGTCTCAAAGTGTTTCACAGGATTTACTGTAAAATGAATCGACTATATTTTGTGGGTGAAACAAAACAGTAAATACACGCTAAGTTCTTTGGGAGAAAAACTTAAGTTATTGGTAGTCAAGTGAAGCACTCAGCGTATTTTACGCTGGGAACAAACCCGGTACTCACTCGAGCAGAGGGAGTGACACAGACTTGCTCTGGTTACATCCACTCCTTATATAGAACAGCTAAACCAGAACCACTCTGTCTCCAGCCTTGTTCACTCCTGGCTCAGCCATCTGGGGCTGGCATCAGTGCAAACAGCTGGCTGATTGACATCAGAGGTGCTCGGAGCTGTGGTGAGCTGGGAGCACAAATCTGAGCAAACAGTTGTAATGAACAGCAGCTACAATATGTTACTTATGTGAAATCAAAGCGATGGTTAGGCAAGCTCAGGCTCTCCACTCTTAAGAGAAAATAATTCAGAGGGGATCTATAGAGATGGATAACAGTTTAAATGGGATTGAAAAAGTAATCCAGCGCAATACTTCAGGATAATAATAATTATTATAATAATACTTGTTATGAATACTTTAGGATGCATCAAGACAGTAGAACAATGGGGCACGGGTTTAGAGCTGTAAAGTGCAATTTCAGGACAGATGCCAGGAAGTGTTTCTTTACTCAGAGGGTAATTAACGATTGGAACAGATTGTCAGGAAATGTGGTTGAGGCCGGGACACTAGGACTCGTATAAAAAGCAGCTCAATGCTGTGATGGAGGCACGGTTGGGTGGGTGTTTACACAGATTTAAAAAGATTTGCAAAAGGATGTACAACGTGGAAACGGGTCACTTGGCTCAACCAGTTCTGGAGGGATGAGATTGGATGGGCCGAAGGGTCTTTTTCATCCAAACTAATCTTGTGATCTCTGTTCTTTATTCGGTTTGGTTCTTTCTTCTGCAGTGGTGAACTCACCAGTTACAGTTATACAGACATAATTTGTTGTGGTTGTTGTTGTTGTTGTTAAAGTTTAACGGTATTCAAAGTGATACTATCTCTGGGATTTCAATGTGTAGGTGGGATGCATGGAATTCTTCCACAAATTACACAGTTAATTTACATATATAATTTAATATAATTTACAGTATATTCTGTGAAGCGCTTTGAGACGTCTCAATGATGTGATAAGGTGCCATATCAAATGCAAGGATTATTATTATTATTAGCTTGCTTTGGATACTCTTAGGCATGGTGATGGGTGTCCGTGTGTGTCAGACACCCGGCTGACCACAAAACAAAGTGAGACTGAGACGTCGGTGACTTAGTGTTCTTTGCTCAATGTCAAAATGTACAAGTTTCCACGACTTGTGTAAGAAAAAGTGAATTGAAAGGAAGGCCAATTTGCACAATGTGTTTCCCCCAGAATCTGTGCAGTGAAGCATCAGAGTCGTTGACCAGTCGGTGTCCTCCTGTGGCTCACTACGCTGGAACCTTAGTGACTGTGCGGTCAGTGTCCGCGATTGGTGAGCACATGACAGCGAGGAACAGCAACTTGGATTTACACAGCGCCCTTCACGCAGTGTAGAGTCCCTGAGCGCTTCACAGTGGTGGAGCCTGACCCCGAGTCAGGGCGAGAGGGAGGACTGGGAGGTGGTCGTGAGCACGATCAAAAAAGGAAAGCAGAGGGAAGCTGGGAAACGTGCACAAGGTGTGGGTTGAAAGCAGGGAGCAGCACCTCCTGGAGCTGGTCAGCAATGAGGCAGCATATACCTATATTAGTTACGCTGTGTTTAACCTGACACAGGTGATCGGGTCCTCTATATCTGGTACACACTGGTCTCTGGGCTGACATACAAACGTTACGACCGTACCATCGAATGAAACAGAAGAGCAGCAGTGTTCCATACACACTGTCATCATATGGCACTAACTCTCCCAGCAGAGAGGGAGAGCCATGACAACACCCTTGTGGCCATGGTGACTTCAGCCCCTTCTCAGGTTCATTGCAGACAAATATATCAGCATTTTGTACAGCGACCCGTAAAAATCATTGCATTTGCCATCCCACATAAGTCAGGAAATGTTCAATCAAGAAAATATGGTTTGTTGGCCACCATTGTTGTGAGGTGTAGCGACTGTGTGTTCTGTAGGTGAGCAGACAGTTGGATTTAGATGGGCCTCATGTATCTGGTATCATTTCCCTCTCATTGCTTTCTCACTAAGACACAGAGGTTCCCACAGCGATGGGAGCCAGTGTGTGCTGTGCGTTTCTACGATGCTCTGAGTGTGATGCTGTGCGAGTGGATACACTGGAAGGTGAACGGCCGTTTCGATGCTGTGTCAGTCTGTGATCGGAAATCCACTTCTCGGCATTTCAAACACGGAAATAACAGGAGTTTTTTGTGAATCATTTATAATAATAATAATAATAATCCTTGCATTTGATATAGCGCTCCAAAGGACGTCCCAAAGCGCTTCACAGAACACACTGTAAAGTGAATTGACTGTATATTTGTGGGCGAACGCGGCAGCCAATTGCGCACAGCAATGTCCCACAAACAGTCGTAGATTGAAAATGACCAATTTATTATTGTTTTTGGTTTTGGAGGGATTATTATTAGGCTCTGTGTGGAGTAAGGACACTTGCCCAAGGTTTCGCCCTCTGCCTGATATCAATAAATACTACTTTTTAAGATGTGCAACGTGTCTGAGTGTGTGTGTGTCTCAGTGACGGTGTTACTCAGTGTGGTGGGTGTGTGTGTGTGTGAGTAGCATTGCTCTGATTGCTCTGTGATTTCTGTCACTGTGATCATAAGCCAGTGTGTGAGAGTGAGTGAGTGAGAGAATGTAAGAGAGTGTAAGCATTGCTCTGATTACTATGTCACTGTGTTCACAGGCCTGTGAATGAGCGAGTGAGTGTGTGAGTGAGTGAGTGAGTGTGTGAGTGAGTGAGTGAGTGAGTGTGTGTGTTTGTGTGTGTGTGTGTGCGTGAGTGTGTGTTTGTTTGTGTGTGTGTGACTGAGTGAGTGTGTGAGCGAGTGTGTGTGTGAGTGTGTGTGTGTGAGTGAGTGTGTGTGTGAGCAAGTGAGTGTGAGTGTGTGTGTGAGTGAGTGAGTGAGTGAGTGTGTGTGAATGAGTGTGTGTGTGTGAGTGAGTGAGATGGTGAGCATTGCTCTGATTTCTGTCACTGTTTTCACAGGCCTCCTTCATCTCTTGTTGCAGATGAGCAGCAAGCGCTCTAGCAGCTTCCGCCGAGCCATCTCGAACGGGCAGAGGCCAGGCCCGCGAGCGCTGCTGGAGGAGCCGGGGCTGAGCGTGTACAAGCGGTTGGTGCGACACGTGGCCTACGAGATCCTGCCGTGCGAGGCGGACAGGCGCTGGTATTACACCCAGTACCGGGGCTGCCCTCCGCCCCTCGGCATGACCCTCCTCACAACTCTGCAGGTCAATATCAGGTTTGGTCGCTCGCGCCACAAGCTGCCGCCCGCGTCACGTTCAAGCGGGCAATACCTCAGCTATGCCAGGACAACAGCAACGACGCGCAGGGTGGCGTCCCAGAGCACTTGACAGTGTTGGTGGAGCACAACGCCGAGCTGGAGGGAGTGGGGAGGTGACGGTGGGCACGGTCGAAGAGGAAGGTCTTCAGTCGCGCAACCTGAAAATGGGGAAGGAAGTGGCAAAGCGGAGGGACAGAGGAAGAGCGCTCCAGAGTTTCAGGTCATAGTGACTGAAAATTCGGCCACCGATGGTGGAGCGGAGGGCGCTAGGGACATGCAGGAGGCCATAGCTGGTCGAGAGGAGGCAGCGGGCAGTGGGTTGGGGAGCAAGCAGGTCACAGAGGTGTGGGGGGGGGAGCAGGGCATGAAGGGATTTGAGAGGAACTTGAAATCGATGTGTTTGATGATAGGAGCCATTGGAGCCTGGATAGCACTGGTGTGATAGGGGTACAGAGTTTAGCGCAGCTGAGTATGCGGGTGGCGATGTTTCGGATCAGCTGGAGATTGTGGAGCTGGGGAGACCGGTGAAGAGGGCACTTGGAGAGTCGAGGAGGGAGGTGACAAGTGCGTTTGGGGTTAAGGTACAGTCGTAGGCGGGCAGTGTGGTGGAGGTGAAAGAAGGCGGTCCTGGTCGGGGACTGGATGTGGGGGAGGAAGGACAACTGGGGTTCAAATTAGATGCCTAGATTTGAGGGATAGGCCGGGTGGCGTGGGGTGGGGGTGGGGGGTCAAGGAGGTCAGAGCCGCAGGACAGAAGATGTTGACGGGAGCCAAGGAGTACAGCTTCCGTCTTGTCCACGTATAGTTACAAGCCGTTTGCGCTCATCCAGGCCCTGATGTCTGCCAGATGCCGACAGAATATCGGGGGACCTGGAGTTGCAGCTGAAGGAGGAGGAGAAGATTTGTTAGTCATCTGCATACATATGGAAGTTGGCGCTGTGCCGGGATGCTGAGCCAGGTTGCCAGTGAGTGCTCACTGTGTGCGAGTCGGAGGGACTCCGGGAATGGCGCTCCAGAGAGTGGGAGCAAAATGGTAATGGTGGGGCAGGTAGGGGGGACGTGAAGTAAGCCAGTGTTTGCCGTGCAAAGGGAATGGCTGGATCGGGAGTGGGAAGGGGATGAAGGACGTAGAGGAGTGGCTCACTGGGGAAAGAGGGAGCTCTCTGTGACATTGCTGTGCGCAAATTGGCTGTCGCGTTTGCCTACAAAAACACTGTCAGATAGGAGATGGTGAACCATGACAGCAGTAGGTAGAGCAGGCTGGTAGCGTTTGTGTTGATGATGGATTTGCGGTGAGTTTTGTGAACAGCCGGCGAGTGGGTCCTGTTTCTATGCTCTGTCTCTTTCAGATTATTATATTCATTTGCTACGGAGCCATGCTGAACAAGTGGGTGCTGCAGACCTATCACGTGGATTACATGAAGAGTCCTCTGGTCTATCACCCTGGTCACAGGGCCCACGTCTGGAGGTTCTTCACTTACATTTTCATGCACGCCGGGTATGTAAACCCTAGCCCGTGCTCAGCCTCAATCACAACAGATTGAACCACAAGAACCGATTGATTCCCATTATAACCTGGATGTAATACAAACAGCCTTTGTGTGTGCATCAGGGTCTCACACGCATGTGCAATGGAGTCTGACCCACGTGTGTGTGTGTGTGTGTGTCAGAGTCTGACCTGTGTGTGTGTGTGTCGGAGTCTGATACAAATGTGTGTTTTGGAGTCTGACACACATATGTTGGTGTTTGACACGTATGTGAACATCAGTATCTGTCACATGATATTCACAAGCTTGATTCGTTCTGTTAATTAATAATGATGCTTGAATTAGAATTTTCCTTGAATAGTGCTTTTCATGTCTTCGAGACGTCTCAAAGCGCTTCACAGAATAATAATCCTTGCATTTGATATAGCGCTTTTCACGTCGGGAGGACGTCCCAAAGCGCTTCACAGAACACACTGTAAAGTGAATTGACTGTATTTTTTGTGGGCGAAACGCCAGTTTTGCACAGCAGTGTCCCACAAACAGTCGTGGATTGAACTGACCAAATTACTATTGTTTTTTTTCTTGAGGGATTATTATCAGGTGTGGAGTAAGGAAACCTGCCCAAGGTTTCGCCCCCATGCCGGGAATCAAACCCAGGTCTCTTGCTTGTGAGGCGAGTGCTCTAACCACTGAGCTACAGGACTCCACAATTGGTTTGGGAATTGATGATATCCGGTGACAATTCTCTCCAATATTTTCGGATTTTCCTGCAAATCTATGTGTGCCGCTGTGTGTATGTGTGTGTGTGTGTGCCTGTGTGTGTGTTGTGTATGTGTGTGTGTGTGGGCTACTCTGTCTCTGTGTGTGTGTGTGTGTGTGGGCTACTCTGTCTGTGTGTGTATGTGTGTGTGTGTGTGGGCTACTCTGTCTGTGTGTGTGTGTGTGTGGGCTACTCTGTGTGTGTGTGTGTGTGTGTGCCTGTGTATGTATGTGGTGTGTGTGCCCACCGCTGTGTCTGCATCTCACTGTATCAGCCTGGCTCAGTGTGTCGGCCTGGCTCAGTGGTAGCACTCTCACGTCTGAGCCAGAAGATGGCGCGTTCAAGCCCCACGTCGAGACTTGGAATCATATAGTGTAAGCTGACACTCCAATACAGGGGATGTGTTGCATTGTCGGAGGTGCCACCTACAGATGAGATGATAAACCGAGGTCCTGTCAGCCTGTTCAGGTGGATGTTAAAGATCCCACGGCACTATTGGAAAAGAGAAGGGAGTTTCTCTCTCCTGGTGTCCTGGCTGACAATCCCCCGGATAAAATTGGCCACTCACTCAACGGTTGGACAAATCTGTAGGACACAAAACACACAGTCACTCTACTTTAAGTAAATCCTGTGAAGCACTTTGGGTTGTCCTCCTGATGTGCAAGATGCTGTACAAAATGCAAGGACTATTATAATGCTGCTGCTGATACCTCGTTTCTAGAATTCCATTGGAAACACATGTTCCCTAGAGAGCAATCCTCACAAACTCAGCAACATGAACATAGGTTAGTTGCCGTCTGTGTTCAACACACAAACACTGGTTATTCTGGTATTCAGTACGTGTACGCTGTCCAGCGCTCCCAGGCTGACTTGCTTTGACGAGCGATTATAAATGCAAGTTGTCGGATGCCGTGGAACCTGTGTAAGGCTATTTGCCTGTGATATCATAAACCATAGTTCAGTGATCTGCGTCTCTCTCTGTACATTGGGCTATAATAATAACATTGCACAATTCGCAGTATAATTTTATGTATAAAGGTGTTTAATGTGGAGCACATTCCCAGGAACTCTGGCCCTGAAAAAGGGATCTGTCACGACAGCTCGGGAGAAATGGACAAAACAATTTCAACCACTTGAATGTTTTGTGGAAATAATAAGCTGGTCGAAACGTGTTCTCTCCCTGCGGTGGCTGAAAGCTGTACAGTGTCATGCTGTTTGTTGAGATCCTCAATATAGTTTAACCTCTCTTCTTAAGAGAAGTAGGGCAGGGCAAAACCTTGGGCAAGTTTCCTTACTCCACACAGAGCCTAATAATAATCCCTCCAAAAACCAAAAACAATAATAAATTGGTCATTTTCAATCTACGACTGTTTGTGGGACATTGCTGTGTGCAATTGGCTGCCGCGTTCGCCCACAAATATGCAGTCAATTCACTTTACAGTGTGTTCTGTGAAGCACTTTGGGACGTCCTCCCGACGTGAAAAGCGCTATATCAAATGCAAGGATTATTATTATTATTATTATTAAGTAGGGCAGTGACTTTTATTTTGTGCTCTGCTATAATGGGAAGCACTGTTCATTTACACTATTCATTCAATCTCAGTGCTTTTACTCCCTTGTTTTGTATTTAAAGCTGGCCAAAAGCAGCGTGGATCAATCTCCCCTGTAGCCTCATTGAGTTCCACTTGAGTAACATCATGAGTAGTGAGGAGAGACACCACTGATCCCTCCTCAGGCATGAGATGACAGGAGTTAAACGGGATCTGTCAGGGGAGGCAAGTGTCACTAATTAGCCGTGTGGCTCACTACCCGACTGTGTCCTGATAACAAGGTAGTGGATCGTTGGGAGTCTGTAAAATCTAGTGACTGCTTATTACAACAACAACTTGCATTTATATAGCGTCCTTCACGTTGGACGGTGTCTCTGAGCGCTTATTACTGGTTCCCATCACTAACACAGGTCCTTGTGCCTGTAGGTTGGAGCAGTTGGGATTTAACGCTTTACTGCAGCTGATGATCGGGGTCCCACTGGAGATGGTGCACGGGATTGTCCGTATCGGGCTCCTGTACCTGGCGGGCGTGCTGGCAGGTGAGTGGGGGGAGTGCAGGCTGGGGGCAGAGGGCACAGCTACAGATCAGAGGGGTAAAGGTGATGCAAACATAGGTGAGGGGTTATAGGTGATGTAACTATTATAGTGGTGATGATGATGATGATGATGATGATGCCTCACTTCTTGAGTTCCACTGGAAACAGTTGTTTCCTAGAGAGCAATCCTCCGAGGGCTCTCGCCTCTGAGTCAGAAGGTTGTGGGTTCAAGCCCCTCCCGTTGGGATTTGGAATCACATAGTCTAAGCTGACGCTCCAAAGCAGTGCTGGTGGAGGGTGTGCGGGGGGTGGGGGGGCTGCATTGTCGCAGGTGCCGTCCTTCAGGTAAGACTGAGGCCCCTGTCCAAGGGGGACGTTAAAAATCCCACCGCGTTATTCGATAGTGTGAACACGGCGTGAGTGTGAACACGGCATGAGTGTGAATGCTATGTGAGTGTGAACACTGAATGTGAACACTGTGAGTGTGAACACAGCATGAACACTGAGTATAAACAAAGCATGAACACTGTGAGTGTGAACACAGCATGAACACTGAGTATAAACACAGCATGAACACTGTGAGTGTGAACACAGCATGAACACTTGAGTGTGAACACAGCATGAACACTGAGTATGAACACAGCATGAACACTGTGAGTGTGAACGCCCTGTTTCTGCCCAGCCATCAGTAAAGCTCACATCTGCATTAAGCAGCTGGAGGCCAGCGCTGCCTGAGCACGTGTGGAACTGCGGACAACCACATTTTCCCTTATGTTTCCCTGGAGACGCGATAGTAAAAATAGCCTCTTGTACGTGTGTTGCTGCTGCCTGGCCTGTGCGAGCAGCCTCTTTCTCTCTCACAGCGTAAACACCCACAGACACCGACCGATAGGGTTTGTGTTTAAAAAATAGTTTTACTCCCATCAGTTTCATGTAATATAAAATATATTTGAAATATAATACAATATAAACACGAAATAAATGAAATAATTATAATAAATATCATATCATTTTATTGGGTCAGCCGGGTGTCTGACACATGCAGAAGCCCATCACCGTTGCCTAAGAGTATTCAACCCTATATAGAGAATTCCACGCATCCCACCTACACATGGCAATCCCAGAGAGAGATTGTTGGAATGAAATGCGCTCTCTCTCTCTCCCCCTGGAGGGACACATCCTGTTTACCTAATTCCGGAAAGTATTAGGCGCAGGTTGGCAAGAGCCAAGGATTGGGGACCCCGGAGTGTGTGATGGGGTAACTGCTGGAGTCTAACCAGCTAAAACCACAGAGCTCGCCATTGATATTGCTGCCTGTCCAGCCAGCCAGCTGCTTGTCCAGCTAGGACCATCCTACCCAATTGGCTTGCAGGATTAACAGGAGCTGAGTAGGGTGACTCCCTGCCTCCAGTGACTAGTCCTGCCTATGAGCCAATGCCCTGGAATACTGAGGACCCTCCTGGCTCAGGAACCGGACTAGAGGTCGTCACAGAGGGCTGGCTTGATTTTGACATTCCTTTGTCAATTATGTCACCTTGGAACCAGTTCAGCTCAAAGGAGGCCCTCCTTACCTTCCCCAACCCCCAGGAGAATAGTCACTAGTTGGCCATTTGAGCCTCACTAGGTGGGTGCATGGTAGGTACAGGGAACTCCCTGCAAGTTTCTTAGTGGGCAATGCACCTCAGCATAAAATGCGTGAGAGCTTTACCACCATCTTCCTGTCCACAACTCGTACACACGTCCCTTCCCATTGAGCGATAGTTCCACCAGTTGGAGGTGCGGAGCTTGAGAATCAGCTGCTTACCTGTCTGCAAACCGATTCCAGGCACTGGAAGCTCTTGAGGCAAATCTTGAAGGAGATGAGGGAAGAGACGAATCTTACACTGTGCGGGATGCAGTTGTAGAGAGCAGGTAGATGGTAAATCTAATTTATGTAACAAATATAATGGCCGAGCAGATGGCAAGTGTTCAGTTTGTTTTATTGAATTGTTTCAATCGTGTCTTCATTAGATTTATTGTGTTATTGCTAATCTCCGAGCTGTGTTTTAGGTTAAAACCGTTGATGAAACAAACACATCATTTGCCGATATTAAACACGATTGGCTTTTGATACTATATTTGTAAGGAATGATGACGGTAAAATTAATCCTTCTGATACTCTGGCTGAGCAAAATCAATTTGATCATTTTGAGCTGGACAAGCAGTACGAAGCTTGCCAGACATTGCTCTCAATGGCAGGCTATGTACTTTTTAACAGTTACCCCAACACATGCTCTGGGGTCCATAAGCCTAATAGTCTCCTGAATTCGGAAGGCAGGATTTGGACCTCCAGGGAGAGAGTGTGCATTCCATTGCAGACATGGGAAGTTCCATGTGTAGGTTGGATGCATGGAACTCCCAGTTTGGTTTGGATTCTCTTAAACACAGTGACGGGTTTCGACGTGTGTCAGACACCCGGCTGATCACGGTAATGGGTTTCTGTGTGTGACAGACACCCGGCTGATCACGGTAATGGGTTTCTGTGTGTGACAGACACCCGGCTGATCACGGTAATGGGTTTCTGTGTGTGACAGACACCCGGCTGATCACGGTGATGGGTTTCTGTGTGTGGCAGACACCCAGCTGATCACGGTGATGGGTTTCTGTGTGTGGCAGACACCCGGCTGATCACGGTGATGGGTTTCTGTGTGTGATAGACACCCAGCTGATCACAGTGATGGGTTTCTGTGTGTGGCAGACACCCGGCTGATCACGGTGATGGGTTTCTGTGTGTGACAGACACCCGGCTGATCACAGTGATGGGTTTCTGTGTGTGGCAGACACCCGGCTGATCACGGTAATGGGTTTCTGTGTGTGGCAGACACCCGGCTGATCACGGTGATGGGTTTCTGTGTGTGACAGACACCCGGCTGATCACGGTGATGGGTTTCTGTGTGTGGCAGACACCCGGCTGATCACGGTAATGGGTTTCTGTGTGTGACAGACACCCGGCTGATCACGGTGATGGGTTTCTGTGTGTGACAGACACCCGGCTGATCACGGTGATGGGTTTCTGTGTGTGACAGACACCCGGCTGATCACAGTGATGGGTTTCTGTGTGTGGCAGACACCCGGCTGATCACGGTGATGGGTTTCTGTGTGTGGCAGACACCCGGCTGATCACGGTGATGGGTTTCTGTGTGTGATAGACACCCGGCTGATCACGGTGATGGGTTTCTGTGTGTGATAGACACCCGGCTGATCACGGTGATGGGTTTCTGTGTGTGATAGACACCCGGCTGATCACGGTGATGGGTTTCACCGTGCGTGTATTGCGCCCTTCATTTGGGGTAGAGTCTCGGTCACTCAAATAAACAAGGTGGTATCTCAGAGGGACAGAGTTTGCTGTGTCTGAGAATAGCCTGAGGAGCTGCTGTGCCTGAGAATCGCTGCATATTTCTAATTGTGCCTCCCTGGAGTGGATCGATTCCTGGCCTCTCACTGAGGCTATAAGATGTACACTGCAGTGCTCACCCTACGCTCTGCTTATCAACTTGTGACTCTAAATCAGATTGAAACCAGTTCTTTTGTTACAGTCTGACTGAAGAGTAGTGATATCACTGAATATCATCTGCAAATGCTTTCTGTAAAATGACCCTAAATCACCAATAATGGCCCCACGTTGACTGAACAGCCCAAGAACAGAGAGAGCTTTATTTCCGAGCCTGGTTTCCTCTCCTTGGCGTGCTCGCTGACGCTGTAAATCAGCCAGCCTCGCACCGCGATTTCACTCAGTGAGTTCACGAGGTTCATTCTGAGGCGATAGATTTACAAACTGTCAGATTGCAGAGTCAGCAACCTCGTGCCCTGCGCAGAGAATACAGGCAAACAGGCTGCAATTAGCCACCGATACTTAATTATATTCACAATACCGGCTCACAATTACTCCCCGACGAGACTCGTAGCATGAAGGCGTGGAATATTTCAGTAATTCTCCTCTGTTGTTATGTGAACGTCACTCACATTCTCTCCATGTTTACCCTCAACAACATCAGTAACACTTTGTTTTTTTCCTGTCTGTGTGTGTGGGAGTGTGTGTGTGTGTGCGTGTGTTGGCTGCGTGTGGTGTGCTCGTGTGTGTGTGTGTGTGTGTGCAATGGGGGGGCTGTGTGTGGTGCACTGGTGCGTGTGTGCGTGGGGGAGGCTGTGTGTAGTGTGCTGGTGTGTGTGTGTGTCAGGGGAGGGTGGTTGTGTGTAGTGTGCTGGTGTGTGTGTGTGTCAGGGGAGGGTGGTTGTGTGTAGTGTGCTGGTGTGTGTGTGTGTGTGTCAGGGGAGGGTGGTTGTGTGTAGTGTGCTGGTGTGTGGGTGTGTCAGGGGAGGGTGGTTGTGTGTCGTGTGCTTGTGTGTGTGTGTGTGTGTTGGGTGGGGGGTGGCTGTGTGGGGTGCTGGTGTGTGTGTGTTGGGTGGGGGGTGGCTGTGTGGGGTGCTGGTGTGTGTTGGGTGGGGGTGGCTGTGTGGGGTGCTGGTGTGTGTGTGTGTTGGGTGGGGGGTGGCTGTGTGGGGTGCTGGTGTGTGTGTGTGTTGGGTGGGGGTGGCTGTGTGGGTGCTGGTGTGTGTGTGTTGGGTGGGGGGTGGCTGTGTGGGGTGCTGGTGTGTGTGTGTTGGGTGGGGGGTGGCTGTGTGGGGTGCTGGTGTGTGTGTGTTGGGGGGTGGCTGTGTGGGGTGCTGGTGTGTGTGTGTGTTGGGTGGGGGTGGCTGTGTGGGGTGCTGGTGTGTGTGTGTGTTGGGTGGGGGGTGGCTGTGTGGGGTGCTGGTGTGTGTGTGTGTTGGGTGGGGGGTGGCTGTGTGGGGTGCTGGTGTGTGTGTGTGCAATGGGAGTGGTTGTGTGTGGTGTGCTGGTATGTGTATATGTGTGTGATGGTGTGAGGAGGGGTGGGGGTAGGGCTGTGTGTCCGTGGGTGAACACGGCAGCTCGGTGCGCACGGAAAAATCCCCCAAAAAGCCATGAAGTGAGTGAAACTGTA